TTCATTAAGCACCTATTTGTACCAGGCACTGTGCCTTGGCACACTGGGGAAACAAAGAAAGGCAAAAAGTCCCTAATGTCAAGGAGCTCACATGTAAACTATTATAAACAAACAAGCTATGTATGGGTCACATAAGTCACAGAAGTCACAAAGGTAGCAAAGAGAAGATGAAATTCAACCCAGGTCCTTTGAGTGTGGTTGAATAGAAAAGGCACTGAGTTTTGGGGCAGCTAGGTGGCACAGTGGATAGAGCACCAGCCCTAGACTCAGGCAGACCTGAGTTCAAATCTGGCCTAGCTGTATGACCCTGGGCAAGTCACTTGGCTCAACTGGCTCAAAAAATGAAGGAACTGGGTTTCAAATCAGAGGACCTGGCTTCAAAACCAGGCTCTGCTATTTATTATCTATGTAACCTTGGGCAAACCATTTCCCCTTCTTTTACAAATAAGGAAACAAGATCAGAGAATTTGTTGGACCAGATCAGAGGTTCTGAATATTTTTTGTATCATGGACCCCTTTGGCAGTCTGGTGAAGCCTATGGAACCCTTCATAAAATAGCATGTTTAAAAGCAGAAAATAGACTACATGGCATCACAAAGGAATTTCAATGACACTGAAATAAAGATATATTTTTCCCCATCCAAGTTCACAGACACTCCCCCACTCCCAAAACCTTCCCTTTGGTGGAAAAGCCCAGGTTAAGAAGCCCTCTAAGGTCACAAGATCAAAAACTTGGAGCTGGAAGGGGCCTTCTACTCAAGTCCCTCCCAACTCCCTTATACAGATGAGAAAACTGAGACCCAAGGAAATAAAGTGACAAATAGCAGAACCAACTCAGGTTCTCTCACTCCAGATCCTGCCTTTTTACCGACACACCAGGTTTCTCAGGGCAATAACAGTGGCACTTTTGTCTGAGTAGACAAGACCCATCGCTCCCACTCCACCCCCAAACAACCTGTTCTCCAGATGGAGAATGGTGTAATACATAGAGTACTGGGTTTGGAATCTGGAAGACTTGGGTTCAAATTCTGCCTTAGACACTAGCTCCATGACCTTGGGCAAGTTACAGTTTCTCTTCTGAGGCGGCTAGGTTGGATCTCTAAGATTCTTTCCATCCTGAAACCTACAATCCCATGATCTATGGCACCCAACACTGGGTTTCAAGCAGAATTGATGCACAGAGCTCAGGCAGGTCTTACTCTGGTATCTTATTTTCCCTGTTTGGTTCCTCTCACCCTAAAGCCTAACTCAGCAGATGAACACAGACCCAAGTAGCTCAGCAAGGCAAAATAGGAAATGCCAAGTGAGGTAATCAAAACCACTTGCACTCTTAGCAGAGGAGCTGAGGGGAGACAGCAGCAGCAGCCCAGCCCAACCCAGCCAAGACCCAGCCCAGCCCAGCCCAGCCCAGCCCAGCTCAGCCCTGCCCTGCCCTGCCCTGCCCAGGTCACATAAACCATTCTGCCAAGCCCCTCAGAGCTCTATAGCATCCTAAAAATGTAAAGAGAAAGATGGTCTCAGAGGAGTTGGTTGAAATTGCCTCCACCCAGGGAGACAAAGACCTACCTGTTAGGTTATCCGGACCCTGAAGAAATAAATAAAATGCAAGCAACTAGCCAGCACAGGTCCTCTGGGGGCTGCAGTAATAATGCTTGATAAGACATGCTGGGAGCTAGAATGATGGGTTGGGAAGGCTTAGCCGGTAATTCTCCTTTCTAAAGCATGTTAAAGATGGCAAAGTACTTTATCCCCAACGCTGTGAGGAAGATCACACAAGGATTATCATCTTACACTTTACAAATTGAGGAAACTCAGACAACTCATTAGTGTTGGAGCCCCTTTTCCACTATCCCACATTACTCCCCACTTTTCAGAACCTCACTCTCTCCTTCCTGAGCCACTTACAAGGATTCTTCCCTCCCCCAACATTTCCTATACCTCCAGAATTCATATTGGCAGGCCTGGGGCTACTGTTTTGGGGGCTCAGCCCACTATGGCAACATGACAGGAATTTGTAAGCCTACTTCCATTTACACTTACTCAAAGGAAAGAACAAGCAAAAGAACAAGAAAAATGCCAACAAGAGAAAAAAGAAAGGGTTTACAGAATCTTTCACAGAACTAACATTTGAACAGCTGAAAGTTTCCAAGCCAAGAGGAAAATGACAACATAGGAGGTGGCTTGCTGAGGAGATGAGGATAACCATCTCTAGATAAGGTGAAAACAATCATACCAGCTAAATCCAGCACTAATAGAATAGTTCCATGAACACAGGTTTTCATGTAGTACATGCACTTATTCTGGGTAGCCTCACAAAAAAAAGTGGGAAGAGACGAAAACATATAACATAATGGGTCTAGGTGACTTTTACAAGGCCAATCTCAATAAGGTCTGGCTACCAAGTCATAGTATCTGGGAAAAGTACAAAAGGTTAAGTCACCAGGGAAAAGCCTACACACTCAACCCTGAAAGCCTACATGTCTGTAAGCATCTACATGATACTTAATGTTTGACGATGGTGGTGGTACAACTTTAATGCATCCAAAAAGGAGATTCATATGGCTTCAAGTCTTCTGCTATACTCTCTCTGTGGAACTGGCTATAAGCAAAGGAAAAGGAAGAAGGTGAAGGAGGTGGCAGTCTCATTGATTCCTATCCTGGTCAGAGCACATCTGATATATTTTTATCTAGTTACAGTTGCTCCATTTTAAGAAGATCATTGGCAAGGAGAGGAGGGTGTCCAGGATGGTGAAGGAACCCAGAACCATGCTATACGAGGTTCCATTGAAGGAACTGAGGGTGTTAAGCATGAAGAAGGTCGAGGAAGGATATGATTAACGTATTTGAAGGGCTGCCACGTAAAGAAGGGGCTATATTTGTTCTCCTTGGCCTCAGAGGGTGGAACTAGAAGAAAATGGGGAAGAGTTACAGAAAGGCAGAAATCACATTTAGTTTAAGGAAAATTTCTCTATGGTAAGGACAGCCCAAGGGTGAAATAAACTGCCTCAAGAAGTAAAGAATTCCATATCAGTGTGGATCTTTAAGTAGAGGCAAGCTGATTATACCTCAAGGATGCCTCTTGATGCAGGTTGGACTAAAAGACCTAGGGTCTCTTCCAACTCTGAGAGTCCCAACCTCAGAGAGGAAAGAGGGGACTTGGCCAAGTGTATATTTTAATTAAATCCACAATGCTGGGATCATAGGGAAGACACTTGCAAATACAACTAATTGTAAGAAGCCTTAGAAATCTGCCAGTTCAACGCCAAAGAAGGATGGGAAAGTGCCCAAAGTCACATGGCTATCAGAAGCAACATTGGGATTTCAATTCAGATATTTTGACTTCAAATCCAAGGCTCTTTCTACTTCATGCCACTCTTGCCTCCCTTCCTCTCTCTCCTCTTCTCTTTCATAAGTTGTATCCCATGCGAATCTGCAGTTTTAGTTCCATGTTGGAAAGGAGAGAGGAACAAGATCATTGGGACATCCTGTACCCAAACTCTTCAAGAAGTATAGGAAGGAAGTATAGTTTCATAGGGAAAGTCTTGGAGAAAGAGAGGGAGGGTGTACTGAGAAGGGCCAGTCAACAGAGGGATGTGCCAACCTGATATAGTTTTCCTCATCTGTAAAATGGAGAAATAATAGCACCTACCTCATAGGGTTGTTGTGAGGTAATATATCTAAAGTGCTATGCACCGCTTAAATCAGTGTGTGTGTGTGTGTGTGTGTGTGTGTGTTATTATTCACTATTATATGACCTGAGGCTTGGAACCACCACCCCTAACAGTCCCAATCCCTCAGATAGGACAGTGGCTGGACCCTGCTGCTTCTCCCGCTTCCCAGGACATGCCCGGGCATCTTACTTCACTGTAGAGTGCTATTCTGAAAGTATCATGGTCCTGAAGCCCATCTGTGACAGAGTGAGAGTTTCTAAAGATATGTGTAGGGGAGCGGAAAAGAAAGGGAAATGAGGGAGAAAGAGGTGGACAACTGTTGGCCTAAGGACAGAGAGGTGCTGTCCATTCAATTCCCGGGCTGTCCTCGAGACAAGGTGCAAAGATGCAAGCCAACAGCGCCCTTAGAGCTGCTGCAAAAACTCTTATTTGGGCATCAGAGCCCAAAGTGGAGACGGGGGTGGGGCAGGGACAGGTAGTAGATTAAGGAAGGCTTTGACAGAAGAACAGCTGTAGAACCGTTCAAAAGCAGCTGGGGGTGGGGGGAGGTGGACTTTCATTCCACAAACATTAAACTGTTTCTATGGGCAGACACTATACTAAGCGCTGAGGTTGGGAAGGGTACAAAGTTTAGGGAAGGCACGACGTAGACTTCCTTCGAGAAGCACAATTTCGTAGGATCAGCAGTAAGGAAGCTACCCCACTCCCCCAGTTCTGTGCTGAGTTCCCACCCAAGCCATTCCCAATGACTCCGTGGGGTCAACGAGAATGAGCAGCGTCTCCCAATTTGGAAGCCCTCAGATTGCCGAATAGTACAGGGAGAGAGGAGGAGGGGGATGCTTCTCGCAAAGAGAGGAAGGGCAAACCCCACCAGAGTCCTGAGCGTGGGTGTGGGTCCAAGCGAGCCCATACGCTCCTCATCCCCTCCCCGCAAGCCATTCTAACCCCCACCCTTAGAACTAGGTTGGCCCAATGTTTCGCGGTTGCAAACATGAGAAAAGACACAGCAGCCATGCCCCCACTTCCAACTCCTCGGCCGCCCTAAGCTGCGCTCGGATTCGGGGGGAAAGGAGGGCAGGGGTAGAGAGGCAGGGCACTTGTTGCAAACAGTCTCAGAGAGCTATGGGACATCCAGACCCGCGCGAGTGGGAAGCGGTGACGACCCCTGCACGAGCACTCCCGCCGCCAAACATACCGATGCCAACTCCGAGCAAGCCAACCTCTCCCGTGCCCCAGGCTCGGCGCGCCTGGCCCTTGCCTGCTCCCAGCGCTAGGTCTCCAGGCGCCCCTCCGAGCGCCCCTTCCTCCCATCCAGGAGCCTCAACTTACCCCGCTGCGCAGGGGGCCCGGGGATCTCCGGCTGCTTCACATAGGGGTTTGCCAATTGGCTCTTCTGCCTTCTCACTGGCCAAATCTATCTATCCCCTGGCCAGTCTCTCTCGGTCCCTAGAACTGTCAGTGTCTCTGTCTGTATCTGTATCTCTGTCCCTCCTCCTCCTCTCCCCTCCCCCTCTCTGGTCTCTCGGCCCTTTTTTCCGGGTTAATTACGCTTAGCACTAAAGCAAAACGCAACCCCCGGATGTGAGTACAATGCTCGGAGGCCGGCCCCCAAGGGGAGTAGGGAGGGGGCAGTAGACAGGGGGAAGAGAGGGAGAGGTGTACGGGCCAGGAGGGGCTGGGAGCTGGGTGGGGGTGGAAGGGAGCGGGTCTGGGTGGGGGAGGGAGGGAGAACAGAGGGAGGAGGTGAAAGGCGAGAGGCGGGGCCCCGGGGCCTGACAGGTCTTGGAGGGACAACCTCTCCCAGGTGGGAGCTGTAGATCCGACCCCTCCCCTCCCGCTTATATTTCAAGGAGAAAGATTTCCCAAAGCTAGATCCCCTTGTCTTTTGTCGGTTCCACTCTCTGTGGATTGCACCCCAGTTCCCACTGGGATCTGGACAGATAAAGGGGGTAGTAAACAGCAAAGGAGCTGGTACACGAATTTGAGAATCGAAAAATATTCGAGCTGGAAATTAATCCAACCACCTCATTTTACAAAAGAGGAAACTGAAGCCCAGAGATAAGAAACGACTTGCCCAAGGTCACATAGCTTTGCAAGGCTCCCTTTTATTTCCTGTTTTTTCTTCCCAACATCCTTGGGGAGATTTGACACTGGCTGCAGAGGACTTGAGAAGACTGGGTTTAAATCCTGTCTCTACCTCTTACCATGTATGTCTTTGAGCCAGTCACTTTCCTACTACCCAGTAGATGACTTGGGTATACAACCCACAATAATAAGGGGGGCTTGGTTTCGTTCTTAGTAAAATGAGGTGGGGTAGAGTTGGACTAATTTATCTCTGAGTTCCTCTCCCATTCTAACACTTTTAGATCCTTTGGACCTCAGTTTCCTGGTCTATAAAACTAAGAAGTTAGATTAGATGACTTCTAACGTCCCAACTCTAAATTTCTTATATGATTCTATGATATGATAAACTTTCCTGTAGTTAAAGAATTAGGTTTAGAATTAGAAAGAGCAAGGACAATGGATAGATAAAGCATTTATTAAGCTCTTACTATGTGCCTAGCCCTGTGTTAATTAGCCTGTGTGACTAACCTGATACTAGCCCTGTGACCCTGAGCACATCTCTTCTCTCTATGTCCCATTTTCCTCATCTGTAAAATGAGAATAATAATAATAATACTTATGCTGCCTACTATACAGGGTTTTTATCATGAGAAGACTTTGTAAACCCTTATTATTGTGGGTTGTGCCCAAGTCACAACTAGGTAATAGGGAAGTCTGAGAGAAGAGAAGTCACCTTTCTTGCCTTCAAAGAGCAAATGAATATACATACACTGTAAAAAGGGGATTATAGAGCTGGAAAGAACCTTAGAAATTATCTAGTCTGCCTCCCTCATTTGACAGATAAGGAAATTGAGATCCCAAGCTGATTAACCCAAGGTCACACAAGTTTTCTCAAGATTTGAACCCAGGTCCCATGACTCCAAATCCAGTGCTTGTACTGTGGTATCACTCAAACCATCACACATAACTGACAAAGGAAAATGTACAGGACAATATACATTCAAAAAGGAATATTAACAAATGTTCATGAATCATCCATTGCTAAGGAAGAGTGAAAACATACACTTGTTATGCCAGTGTAAATATGACAGTCTAGTGTGTGTTGGTCTCAGTTAATAATAGTCAATAAACATTAATTAAGTACCTACTATGTGCCAGGCACTCTGCTAAGCACTGGGGAATTAAAAAAAGGCAAAAGACAGTCCCATCACTCAACAAGCTCTCTGTCTAATGGAACTGGCTCCCAGAAGTTTTCAAGGAAGAGGTGGAATTTTACGAAAATGTTGAATAATAATAACTCATTTATGGAGTGTTTTTACAGTTTGGAGAACACTTCCCTCACAACCACCTTGTGAGGTATATAGTCTAAATATTATTTCCCCATTTTACATATCAGGCAACTCAGGCACAGAGAGAGGAAGTCTAAAGTCAGTCACATGGGTAGTGAACACCAGAATCAGCTGGGACCCATATCCCTCTGCTCTTTCCACTGCACTTCTGAACAGAAAGCACATGTTTTATTTGCAAAGAATAGTAATAATAGCTCACATCTCTATTGGCCTCTAATGTTTCCAAAGCCCTTTTTATCATGACAAGTTGGTTTGGGCAAATAGCAAAGGTATGATTATGATCCCCATTTCTTGCAGATGAGGAAGCTGAGGCTTAAGGGACGAGCCCAGAGCCTCACAAGTTGGAATTAGGCCTGGAACTCAGATCTCTCCAAATTCTGATTCTAGGTCTTCCTTCACTACAAAACATTACCAATAAACAGAGTGCTATGGTCATGGAGGAAATACAGGAGAACCGAAATCCCTGAACAAATACACCAAAGAAAGAGGGTGGGGGAAAAGACTCTAAGGCTAAAAATCAGAGTTCCTAACCATGAAGGGCTGGAGTCAGGGAAATAGAATCATGTTGAGTACCCTGAAAGTCTTAGTATTTATAGATCTGACCATGACACTGGCTCCCTGTTACCCCTGGGGTAAAAGAGAAAATTCTCTGACATTTAAAACCTTCCACAAACTAACTCTCACCTACCTTTTCAGTCACTCATATTTCTCCCCCCACCACTCACCATTATAGTCAAACTGACCTTTGAGCTATTCCCCCCCCAAAATGACGTTTCATCTCCTATCTCAGCACCTTTGCATTGGTGGTCCGAGAGATAGATTAGGAAATTGAGATCCAGAAATGATTAACTCAAGATCACACAAGTAATAAATAGCTGAGCCAAGATTTGAATCTAGGTCCCATGACTCCAAATCCAGCTCTCATTCCCGCAGCGTCACTCAAACCATCACATGTAACTGACAAAGGGAAATGTACAGGAAAATATACATTCAAAAAGGGACGTTGACAAATGTTCGTAAATCGTGGAAGGAAGAGTAAATAATTAAGCACCAACTATGTGCCTAGAGTTCACTCCCTCTTCTTTACCTTTTAGAGTTGGACACAACTGAAATGACTGAACAATTTTTTTTTTGTAATAGTCCCTGCTCTCAAGGAGAGCAATATGGGCAGATCCAATATGGGCAGAGGAGTCAGGGAGATAACACACAACTAACTGCTTACAAACAAGATATGTAGAATTAATTGGAGATAATCTCAGAGGGAAGGCATTCCTACAATTAAAGGGAACCATGAAAGGCTTCTTGAAGAAGGTGAGATGTTAGCTTAAACTTGAAGGAAGCCAGGGGAATGAGGAGATAGAGAGAAAGAGGAGGAAGAGAATTCCTGGGAGATGGTGTGTTTTGTGACAGGTACAGTAAGGAGGCCAGTGTCAGTGAATCATGGAGTGGGGTAAGGTGTAAGAAGACTGGAGAGGCCAAGTTAGGAAGGACTTTAAAAGCCAAAGAGAGGAACAGTCAACTGCTATCTCATCCTGTGGCTAGCAAACTCCCACATGTTTCTCTTCTAATCCTTGTGATTCAGTTTTCTTCCTGGGCCAAAACCTCCTTTTCTCCACTACCTCCTCTGCCCTCCACTTTCATTGTATCCTCTGGATAACTGGTTCTACTGTTAAACTTTCCTTCATTCTAAATCTCTTCTCACACTTTCTTTTTAAAATTATTATTTTAATCAATAAAAATCTTCCTTCTCCCACATTCTTTCCATATTTTCAACTGCTGAGTTAAAATTATATCTTGGTGGATTAAGTGCTGGATTTGGGATTAGGAAGTATTTGAATCCTGCCTCAGACATTAACAACCTATTTAGGCTGTATCCTGATCTCTCTCTCTCTCTCTCTCTCTCTCTCTCTCTCTCTCTCTCTCTCTCTCTCTCTCTCTTTCTCTCTCTCTCTCTGTCTTTCTCTCTCCCTTTCTTTCTCCCTCTCTCCTTTTCCTTCTCTGTTTCTCTTTCTCTCTCTCTGTCTTCCCCTCTCCTTCTCTCTCTCCCTCCCTCCATCTCTCTCTGCTTCTCTTTCCCTCTTTCTCTCCCTCTATTTCTCTCTCTTTGCCTCTCTCTTTCTCTCTCCCTCTCTTTCCCCTCTCTCCATCTCTCTCTCTGCTTCTCTTTCCCTTCCTCCTTTTCTCTTTCCTCCTCTCCCCTTCTTTCTCCCTCTCCCTCTTTCTCTCCTTCCCTCTCTCACTTATCTCATCAGCATCCATAGTTTCTATTATAATATTATCTATTATTTCTATTCTATTAGAGCATATAGCTCTCAGGTCTACATATCCAACCCTCATTTCTCCTCTGTTCTCCAGAACAACATCTCCAGCTACCTGTTGGACATTCCCACCTAGAGGTTATGGAATCTCATACTCAATGTGTCCAAGGCAGAACTCCTTACCTTTCTCCCTCAATCTATCCTATCACTTAATTTCCCTATTTCTGTAGAGGGCACCACTACTCTTTCAGTTACCTAGGAGAGTTGAGAAGCCATCCTCAACTCTTTACTCTTGCTAATTCCTCCATATTCAGTTTCGAAGTCTTGTTGATTCTATCTCTTCAACATCTCTTCCATCTGACCCCTTTCCTATAGTCACATTACAATGATCCTGGTGTAGACTTTCCTCACCTTTCCCCAGACCTACTGTAATTACCTCCTAACTGGTTTCCAGTCCTGTCTCCTTTCCAATCCATCCTCCATACAACTATCAAATTGATGTTCCTAAAGCATAGGTCTCACCTTGTCATTCCCCTGCTCAAGGAGGTTTCTGTGGCTCCCCATTGCCTTTCTGATAAAGTCCAGACTTGTCTGTCCTTTAAAGTCTTTTGCCAGCTGGATCTAGCCTATCTTTATAGGCTAATGACACACCATCTGCTCTCCAGCCAAAGTAGTCCATTTGCTTTTCTCCTGTGCCAGACAGCTCATCTCTGGCCTTCATGCCTTTGTACAGGCTGTCCTCTGTACCAGAAATGTTTTTCCTCTTCATGTCCCATCCCCTTCAAGAGGCCTTTCCTGATTCCCCAAATTGTTAGATCCCCTTCCATTATTCTTCATTTGCTTTGATCTCGAAGGCCTTCTTTCATACATATATTTTATATTTACTTCTTTGTGAACATCTACCCCCTCTCTCACCTTGTCCATAGACTGTGAGCTCCTTGAGAACAGGAATTGTCTCATGTTTATGTTTATATCCAGAACACCTAGAACTATGCCTGG